CCCCTCTTCACAAAGGCCCGCGTGGCCTCCCCATCTAAAGGGGAACTCCGTGGTCATGCTTCGTCCCAAAGCTTTGTTTTTGCTATTGAATATGTTATCCATGAATGCGCCTGTCACGTGCCCCCCTGGATTGCAGGCTCCGTGAGACAGGCATCGGGTTTGGTTCACTCGTTCTGCTGCAGAAAATAAACCCTGGTCGAATGAATTATTGGGGTTATCTGAGAACTGTATTGCAGTGATTAAAATTCCCGTTAACCCCTTAACTCCTATTAGAAGGTTTGCGGCACACGAGGGCTGCAAGGGCGCTGGCAGTGTGCAGACGGAGCATTCCGAGGGCTTCCCCCTCACAATTATCGGATTTGTTTGTCTGCTACCTCCCCTGCCCCTTCCCAACTTTTAAATAACAACGTATCTATAGATTTTATGGAAAAGTCTCTCGGAAGACATCAGAGCAGTTCCTGGCACCAGGGTTGGAAGGTAAGAGCCCTGGGTGTGTTTTCGTGTTGATTCCAGACGGCAGACGCAGTGCATTGATTCTGGGCAGCTTTGATATCTCAGTGTTTAACCCCTTTACGGAAATTTAGGAATCTATATTATCCCCCCACCCGCCATCCCAGTCCTCTCAAAATGAACAGATTCCAAAACCCTCAGGAAACATTAGCTGGGCACCACTCCTGCCCTTATTTGGTTAATTGGCCGTATCACAAGACTGACACATTGCCCAAGAGAAGCATAAGTTGTCAGTAGCTCTTCCAGAATAACTGACTTTATTAATATTTATGATTAGTCTCTGAACATTTGCTTTTAGTCTTTCTGCTTTCTTTTATTCAAAGGAAATACTGAAAGCTACTTCTTTTCGGGTTGAAAATATCAAGGCATGCACAAATTGAAGATATTTGGGTGAAGCAATAAACCAAACCATATTTCGTACATGTAACCTGTGTTTCTTGGTAGGTGATGTAGGGTTGTGGGTGCCTTTGTTACCTGGGAATGCCACGTGGTTTACAACTTGGGCTACCCGGGGGGCGGGGGGGGCATTTAGGACACTGGATTCCAGATTGAGTAAAGCCTTCTATCACTACTTTAATTATGAGTGTTAAGTTTCTGCACACTTGCCCGAGAAGCCTGCCTTTGCCTCCTGTGACCTTTTGTCCCCAGTGCCCCGTAAATTTTTTTCTTTTTTTGAGACAGAGTTTCACTCTGTTGCCCCGGCTAGAGTGCTGTGCCATCAGCCTAGCTCACAGCAACCTCCAACTCCTGGGCTCAAGCGATCCTCCTGCCTCAGCCTCCCAAGTAGCTAGGCACCTACAGCCATGCAAACCATGGCCCCGGCAACCAAGTTTTTTC